GGTAGCGCAGTGTCTGGAGCTGGCCCAGGGCACTGGACTCCTGTGGAAAATGGGAAAATTCTGGTGGGGCGGGCAAATATTTCACCAAGATCTATGAAAACTCATTAAGAGCTCAAACAGAACTGAATCATAGATCATCTCTAAATAAATCATTCACTATGAATTATTCAGCCAGCCTCAGTTATAATCCTCCAGATTTTGGTAAAGTGAGGCACAGAGAGTTGAGCTGATATAGATGCATAGCTGGGCTTAGATCACAGGAGTTCCTGGCATCTTGACCTCCTCTCTCTAGATGCCTGGCTCTACTTGTTATCATTTCAGGCTGGGATTCTCAAGGGAGTCTAAGGGAGTTAGGATCCCAAGATGTACGTGCCTTAATCCCATAGGCTCCTTTGCAAACCCCAACCCTCGTTTTCTGAAATTCAGGACAAGCTCAGGCCATGGAAGTTAACAATATAGACGTGAAGCCAGAATTACAAAGGAGTTTAAGAACCTCAAGAAGGAGATAGGAGCCTATCGGGATTTACAATAGCATCTAAGCAGGTTAGGCGCCTAACTCCCACTGAATGACCATGGGGTTTAGCCACCTAGCTCACTTAGGAGCATTGATAGTTCCCAGTAGGTGCCTGTCTCTCTCTTTGTAATCCTGGCCCATAGATAACGCAGAAGTTGGGCTGGAATCAGGGAACCCTGGGGGAGATCATGGGCTCTGTGCTATGTGGGGGTCAGACTAGAGGACCAGAATGGCCCTTTTTAGTTTCATCACCTAGGCATCTATGCACTTGCCTCTGGGCCTCTGCTGCTGAGCTGTGCAGAGCTCCAGGGAGTGAGTCCCACTAGCCCTTAGGAAATAGACCTGGATAAATCACCTTGCTGCAGCATCAGTCCTTTAATGGCAATGCAGCTCAGAGCCAGCTCCACACAGGTCATCTGCAGAGAACAACAGGTGTGAATCCAGTTGTGTCAGTTCAGTCTCAGATTGAGGGGTGAAGGATTCTCAGATACTTGTGCCTTCAGCTTCTAGATTCTACTATGCAGATGGATATTGAACGGAGAATCCTGGTGCTGGATGACTGCATGCGTCATCTTTAGGGGGGAAATCCACAAAGACCAGTACAGTAAGTTTGTTATTTCAAATAAATATATTGGGGGATCAACATACAGGGGGAAATTAAGATGATAAATATGAATTACAATATGAACTCATTAAGACTTTTCTCAGTTTAATCAATACCTACGGCTGATTGGTATTTTCCCACCCTGCAGGAAAATTTTGACTTTTCATTGAAAACCCAAAATCTTTTTTTTTTTTCCATTTTTTGGCAAATGAAAACTTTCTGCTGAAAACTGGATTTTTTAAAATCACAAACCCAAAACTCTTTGGTTTTTGAGTTTTCGTTTCTTTACAAACCAAACCAAAATGTTTGAGAGAAGCAGACAGATTCTGAGATTTGTTATTGTTTAGCAGGAAAACCAATCTCCATTAAAAGGAACACAGCTGAAAACTTCCAACCTGCCATACACTTTAAATAAATTGGGGAACATTAATATTGCCTGGTTAGACCTTAATTCCAAACCCATTTATTCTGTTGCGTCTGGGCAATTTCTCTTTCAATGAGAGAGTTGCACAGAAGTAACGACTGAATAACCAGTAAAGTTGCCAGCGCACACAATGTTTTGTACAGATTAGCCCCTTTAAACCCTGGCTTAGAGTAGAACCAAGCAGCCAACGCCTGTCTATCCTGACCCCATTCAAGGGCATACGGGAGCTCACTGGGAGTGGAACCCAGAACTCCACACTGGTGCTGGCTGAGTACAAATAGAGTAAATTACACATAACAAGACACGGGACCATGTTTTCAAAGGGATTTAGGCACCTAGTGGGATTTTCAGAAGCACCGAGGAGCCTGGGGTTGCGTGCCTAAGTGGTTTTGAAAACCCCACTAGGTTTCTCAATACCTTTAAAACTGCCACACAGCCCCTTTGCAAAGGACCTTACAGTCCTAGTAGCCAAGGCAGAGAAAGGGAGGGAGGGGAAACAGAGGCAGAAAGAGGGGAAATGACTGGCCCAAGGTCACACAGCAGGTCGCTGACAAAGACAAAAGTAGAGCCCAAGTGTCCTGGCAACAATGCACCGCACAGTGCAGAGCAATTTAAACAACAGGGCAGTAATGGAGGGGTGCTGCTAGCCCCGTGTTACATGCCGGCAGGAGAGCAGCTGGGGTTTGGTGCCAGAAATCAA